ACCAGCCCATCGGCAGGACGGTGAGCTCGGGAAGCAGCCAGTCGGTCGCGTGTAGCAACACCCCGTCAATATGAGAAACTCCAGCCAGTCCCGCCCGAACGGGGGGGAGCGAGAAGGACTCGCAGAGGCCCTCCGGGACGCGCATCGCGTAGAAGGCGTTCGAGATGTCCCCGCTACTGAACCACGTGTCCCCGCTGCCCTGCGTCTCCAGGCGTGCAAACGCGCCGCCGCTGGGCAGCTCGGCGCAGGGGGGCGGCTTGAAGCGGGCGTTGCTGATGCGGGTGTCGAACACCAGGCGCTGTTGCCCTGACTTCTTGGCGACCACGAACACTCCCAGGAGGCCGCGACGGCCGCGGGCAAGCGACAGGCGCAGCATCCCGCGGGTCAGCAGCTCGGCAATGAACTCGCCGTAAATAGCAGGGCGCCGCAGCTTAGGATCGATATAGGGCTGAGCGAGACCGAGGTCGCGCCGCAACGCAGCCGCCTCCGCAGGCGGGCGAAGCATGTGGGCCTTCCAGTCCTGCAGCCACAAACGGTCGGCCTCCAAGAGCGCGGACTCCAGCGCGACGGGCGCCGAGCCGCCGGATGGCCAGGACACGAGGTCCTTGCTGTAGGACACCATGTCGCCGCGCCCCGCGGTATAGAGGGGGCAACTGGAGCATGCGTCAGCGAGCGCTGGCAGGCCGCCGACCCTGACGTACTGATCAGCGATGTAGTCGAGCGACTCCCGCTGCAAAACCGAAGGCAGCTTGCGCACAGGGGGCGATCCGCCACCAGCCAGCCAGTTGAGCGAGTCGATACCGTCATTGGCCCAGTCGAGCCGCGCCGGGGGCCGACCGCTCGCGTCATCCTGCTGGTGGTCACCAGGAAGGAGATGAAGAAAAAAACATGTCGCTGACGACTGACCGCCATGGCGTGGGGACCACAACGGCAGGAGCGAGTGGCTGGAGGGGGGCCCTCCGGGGGAGCCAAGGCCCCGGCGGCTGCTGCAGGTCTGCGAGGGGAAGGAAGCTAACTCTTCCCCGCCTTCCCGCCGCGCCCCGCGGGCGCCAGCGGGCGGGTGGAGCAGCTGCCGCTCCTCGCGCGCCTTGCGGCGCTCCTTCGCAATGGCCGACTCGGCGGCCAGCTGCTTGGCGATCCACTCCGAGAGGGCGGGCGCGACCATGACCCCGCGCGTGGACTGCATCCCCGTGAAGAAGAACTGTTCGTCTCCGCCGGGTCCTGGCGGGCGCGAGCTGACGAGCTTGTCTTTGCACCGCTCCTCGCATAGCTGCAGCTGCCGCGCCACAAGCTCGAGACAGGCGAGGTTCGAGCCGTCGACCTGGACATGCGACTGTGCCACCTGCATGATCTTCGAGCACTCGAAGTGCATGCTGACGATGGGGTCGTCGGGGGACACGCCTGCGCCCAGGGCCGCCTTCCAGGACAGGTGATGGCCCAGAGGAGACCCACCATTCTCCACCTGGTACGTCGCCACCCAGCGATTGGTGGCTGGGCCTGGGACTGGCCAGTCTGGGAAGGCCGTCGGCCGCATAAGCTGCGCGCTGCCCCGACACTCTCGATGCCGCTGGCCCTGACGATCGCGCGCCGTCGGCAGCGCGCGGAGGTCCCCCGCGCCCTCGCCAGGCGGGGCGCCCGGAGGTGGCGCCGCAGCATCAGGGGCAGGAGCTGGCCCATCAGGGGGAGGCTCGCCAAGGCGGCCAGGCCCGCGAGTCCTCCGCCAGCACCGGGCGCCGCGGGAGCAGGAGCGGCGGCGGGAGCACCAGCGGGGGCTGCCCCAGTGGCCGCCGGGCGACAGGGGCGCCCGCTGCGACGCCGCCGCCGAGGGGCCCAGGCCCTCCTCCAGCGGCGACCACGGCGCCGGGCGAAGCGCCGCCACCTGCAGCACCACCCCCCTGAGCGCCGTCAGCACCACCACGACGGCCATCGTGCTCCGCGAGCCTCGCTGCGCCGACGGCGCAGGCCTGCGCGAGCTGGACCACCGTTGGCGCGACCGCGAAGTCGTACCTCCTGACGCCCGCGGGACAGACGGCCCCCACGGGGGCGACACAAGCAGGCCACTCCTTCCACCAGTTGCGCACGTCGGCGTTGGCGGCGTCGCACTCCTCGACGTACACGTCGAGGTCGGGGGTGGGCACGGCGAAGTGCTCCACCGAGCGCGTGGAGCATCCCACGACAATCCGCTTGTGCGCGAGCCGAGGTCCAGGCTCGTCATACTCAACCCAGATCTCATCGCCCACCGCAATCATGAGAAGCGCCCTCGGCCCCCAGCGCGCGGCGGCCGCCAGCCTGGCGAGTCGGAGGCAGCGGGGACCTCGTCCGCCAGCACGGGCGGAGGGGGGGCGCGGCGCGCGCAGGCGGAGCGAGCCGCCTGGACGCCGAGTGTCACCGCCCCGCGTGCAAACTCGGCCGCCAGCAGGAGCAGGCACCCAAGCACGGCCTCCCAGCCCAGGGAGGCCCGCCCGCCGCCGTCCGCCTCGCAAGGGGGACAGGCGGGGCAGAGGGAGGGGCAGGTCCGCACCACCAGCCTCACGTCCAGCGCGGCCGCCAGGCAGTCCGCCAGCGGCACCTGGACCCCGGCGGCCTCACCCGGCGCCAGGAACGGGACCGCCTCCGCCGGCGGGGCAGCAGCGGCCGCGGGCGTCCGCGGCCCAGGAGGGACGGGCGGCTGCGCGGGGCCCGCGCGCCACCACCAGCGCGCCAGGAGCAGCACGCCGAAATGACCTGCGAGCGGGAGGCCGAGCCCGAGGCCAGAAAGGCGCATCGGGTGGAGGGCCTCTCCCTCCAGAAAAAAAAACTTGAGCAGTCGCGGTTGCGGAACGACAGCAACCTGAAGCAACGCACGCGCCGGCCTTCGGTTCACAAGAGATGAAACGTGCCTACACAGCCATCATCCGGAGCGCCCCAGATCGGCGGCACTACCACAATATGGGTGCGGTGGGCGCATGCGAGCGCTTGCATTTGGGCCTTCGGTGGGGTTCCTAGGGGGCCACGAAACGTGTGAGAGATGTGCCAAAATGGGTGCGGTGGGCGGATGCGAGCGCTGGCATCTGGGCCTTCGGTGGAGCATCCTATCAGACCATGAAACAAGCGAGTGATGTACCAAAATGGGCGCGGTGGGCGCATGCGAGCGCTAGCATGCGGGCCTCTGTTGGATCTCCCTATGGAGCCACGAAGCGTGCGAGCTGTGTGCCGAAATGGGCGCGGTGGGCCAATGTGAGCGCTGGCATTTGGGCCTTCGGTTGAGCCCCCATATGGGGCCACGAAGCGTGTCAGGGGTGCGGTGGGCGCATGCGAGCGCTGGCATGTGGGCCTTCGGTGGGGCTACCTATGGGGCCTCGAAACGTGTCAGGCGTGTGCAAGCATGGGTGCGGTGGGCGGATGCGAGCGCTGGCATCTGAGCCTTCGGTGGAGCTCCCAATGGTGCCACGAAGGGTGTCAGGGGTGTGCCGGCATGGGTGCTGTGGCCGCATGAGAGCGCTGCCATGTGGGGTTTCAATGGAGCTCACATGGGGCCACGGAACGTGCAAGAGGCATGCCAAAATGGGCGCGGTGGGCGCATACGAGCGCTGGTATTTGGGCCTTCGGTGAAGCTCCCTAGGGGGCCACGAAACGTCCGACGGGGGTGCCAACATGGGTACGGTGGGCGCATGCGAGCGCTGGCATCTGGGCCTTCGGTGGAGCTCCCCATGGGACCACGAAACGTGTGACGGGTCTGCCAAAAAGGGTGCGGCGGGTGCATGCGAGCGTTGGCATTTGGGCCTTCGGTGGGGCTTCCTATGGCTCCACGAAGCGTCTGAGGGGTGTGCCAAAACGAATGCGGTGGGTGCATGCGAGCGCTGGCATCTGGGCCGTCGGTGGAATTCCCTACCCTATGGAGCCACGAAGCGTGTCATGGGTCTACGTAAATGAGTGCGGTGGGCGCATGCGAGCACTGACGTGCGGGTCTTCAGTGGAGCTCCCTGTGGGGCCATGAAGCGCGTGAGGGGAATGCCCAAATAAAGGGGGTGATGGGAAGAGGGAGAAGCGGGAGGAGGAGGAGGAGGAGGAGGAGAAGGCGGGAGGGAGGGAGGGACGCGGGGCACTCTCTCTCTCTCTCTCTCTCTCTCTCTCTCTTCAGAACGAGGACCCGACACCACAGGATGGTTGGGAAAAAAACACTCTCAAAGCGCGCGTTTTCGAAGTTCGCTTTCGGCTGGAGGAGTGTACAGAAGAGGGGCATTGTTTCAAGAGGAGGGCGAACGGAGGCGGCGGAAGGTGGAGGAGCTCGGGCAAACGCGAGGCGCCCACGCTTAAGCGAATGCCGATGGTCTGCGCGCCGACACGATCCAGTCGACGCGTCTCTTGAGGATGCGCGGCAAGGATGCCAGGGCCTTGGAGGACCACGTGTGCGTTCTTCGAGAAGGGGCTGGCCAGCGAAGGTGGCAAAGGGTGGACCGGGAGGGCAAGGATGCAAGAACACCCTTGGGAAAGTTGCCCATCCGTAGTACGCGGGTTGACTATAGCCCGTCCTCGTCCACCGGAGCCGAAGCCCTCCAGCGAGTGAACAAGTGCGCGCAGATGGTCGTCGCAACGGGCTCCAATCTTCTGGGCGGAAAAAGAAGAAGCACATCTACGTTTCAGTATCCTGCGTTCCATGGACCATCGACCACAATAGGGCGGCAAAAACAACTATCACGAACATAATGCTTTGTAGCGGTGTGTTTGTACTCGCGCAAGGATCCACCGAATCACGCTTACGGTGTGAGCTGTTTGGCTGCACTCCCCTAGCTTCCCTCCTTCCCAAATGCTCAAGATCATATTTTACGGGGGGGGGCGGATGCGGCGCGTGCGGGCTCGCAACCGGTCGTTGAGGCAACCATCACGCGGGAACGCAGTGGTCAATTGCAGACTCACGCCTTCCCAACCCTGGACCGTCTTGACTCCTCCTCGTCCCTCTGCAGCTGATCCGCCTCCTCACCCCTGCCGATGTTTCTCCTCCTACGCATCATGCTGCTCACCCTTCTCCTAACTGGCGGAGTCGCGAAAGACTCAAGGATGGTATTTTGGGCGCTGCTGGACATCTTGAGGTGACACATTAGTTACGTATACGCCTGTCCACCTGCTTCTTTTGAGCATTTGCAGTCGCTCCTGCAAGTGAAGCATGCATCTCTGTTCCGTGCCTCTTGTGAGCCGTGGCGGACACGCCTCTGGAAGGTCACCAGTCAGCGCGATGTAACGCACACGATGGTCTGTGATCTATAGGTCTCGATCTCTTTCTCTTTCCGTTTCCCTGTCTCTTATTATTGTTGCCCATTCTCCCTCTATCTCTCGCTCTCGCTCTCTCTCTCTCTCTCTACATATGTGTCGTGCTGTTTTCTTCAGTCTCTCTCTCTCTCTCTCTCGCCATCTCCCTCTCTTCCTCTCTCACCCCTCTCTGGTCGCCGACCAGACGTCAACCGTGCGCACTGCGCAGCGGGCTTTGAGGCATCATCAGACGAAGTCCTCCTTGTAGAAATAACAGGCCCCGACAAGTGAGCAACACACAAACGAGGCCACTGCGAAGGAACGTAGATCCGAGTCGGAGTGCACGGCTCCCTGCTCGAGATACTGAATGACTCGGCTCAGCTCCATGCTCGCTGCCAGCACCAGAGCCGCCGCGGCCGTCGCGGCCGATAAGATCGCGGCCCCGCTTTTCAGCCTGAGAGACAAGCCCATTAATAGGGTGAGCATCGGTATCATGAGAGGGTAAACGGCGAGGCGTACAACCCAGCCGCCCATTATGTGCAGGCCGACCTTGCGCGCTGACGCGCCTTCCCGCATCAGGATGCCAGCGCCGTCTATCGTCTGGAGTGCGAGCGGCAGGAAAATGACGACCACGTGCTTGTAGCGGACGCCTGCCTTGCCCACCGACTGCGCCAGGGCTTTCGGCATCTCTGTCCGCACCTTCTTGTCGAAGGCATCCAAGGCGGCTTCGTCGGTCGCATCTTTTGCGATTGCGCTGATTACCTTCATGAAACGGGCGATGCTCCGCTTAACAAGGGGGCGATCTGCTTCGTTGAAGCACTCCGCCTGGTGGATGCTGAAATTCTCGGACTGCTTCTCAATGCGGGCCTTGACCCGCAACCAGTTCCGCCACGCGATGCAGAATGCCACGGCGAAAGGAAATGCAACAGCGAACGTTAGGTAACAGGCCGTGTTCTCCAAGCCCATGCCCACCAAAGCCTCGCGGACCACGGCGATGTGCACCACCATGTCGCAGAGGCACACGACCAAGATTGTGACTACTCCCATTGCCAGCACGCTCGGAAGGATGACCGGAATCACGTGGAGCTTGTCTTTCTTGTGCAGGGTGAGGAAGCACGCCAGCTCGTACACTGTCCACAGCTTGTGCAAGTAACTGTCGCTGTACACCACCACCATGCACCTCGAGTGCCGCACGAAGGCGGCGAGGCTTTCGATGCCGTGGCGCTTGCGATCCTCGTCCACCTGGTCGATGCAGGTCTTGTCCAGAAAAACCGTGGCCCCCCCGAAGGGCAGAAGCGCCCGGATGTCCTGCAGGAGGTGGAGCCCCAGGAACAGCACGAGAGTACCTGACACCAGGGATCGACCCAAACGGTGTCATCCGTGTTCGTGCTGTGCTCGTTGTCCCTCGTTCTGTCTTCGTGTCGCCTCTGCTGCAAAACGAACTCGAGACGAACGCTGCCCACAACATCGCCAAAACACCGTTTAGGCCGACCCCTGGTACCTGACACCACGCCGTACTCGGCGCTCCTGTACGCCTGGCCATCATCGCCGAGCATGTCCAGCACAGGCAGCACCCCGGCCGCCTGGAGGCTCGCCATCGACAGCGAGAGCGCCCCGACGAGCAGCACCACCGCATCGAGGCTGAAGAACACGGAGAGCGCCCTGAACTTCTGCGCCCGGGGGGTGCACCAGTTGTGAGAGACGAAGACGTCGATCGCCTCGACGCGCCGGGACATCGCGTAGTGCCTCTCGGTGCCAGCGCTGTTGTGCAGCACCTCTGGGGGGGAGCAGGAAGGCACCTCGACCACTCCTCCACGGACTTCTCCCGGGGTCCACTCTGGCTACGATTCCGAGGCGAATCCAGCCGAGGACGAGGCAAGGGTAGCGGCATCGGTACCTTCTCAAAAGTCCGATGTCCTGATTTGTTTAACGCGGGGCCTCCGAAGTCTCCACCTGTTCCACGGGACTGGTTCCTCATCCCGAGTCGCCTTTCGACGGTCCCGCGGCGCGAGGGCCCCCAGCGGCCGGAAACGGCGAAAAAGCCGTGCCTTGATATTTCCAGTGCGGTCGGACCTAGGACAGAAGAACACCCCTCAAGAACATGAGGCCATCCGCCGGCCCAAACTGGAGAACATTCGAGGGTGCCCTCCCCCAGGATGCGCACGACCATCCAATAATTACGCACGAAAAACATTAGGGTGCCCTTCCCGCGCCGACCTCGATCTCACACCTCGGTCGGACCCTTCGCTGGAGGGTTTGCTTCCTCCGCACCTCGCCGCGCCGGCGGAGGACGTCGCAGGCCCGGGTGCCGCGCAGCAGCGACGGGTCACTGAAGGTGATGTCGCTGCGCATCTCCGGGTCCAGGGCTCCGGACAACCTCAGCAGCCTGCCAGCGGCCACCGACAGCTGCCTCTTTCGGGGCCCCCCAGCGGGGGCAATTGAGCAAGGAGAAAGAAACGGGTCTTGCGCGAGATGGCATAGCGAACTTGCGCGGTGGCTTACGCGGGCCGCCAGCGCGGCACGCCGCATTGGAAACGAGAGCGCTCACGCGCGACCTCACGCGGGCAGCTTACGCGCCAATGTCCGTGCAGACGACCCCGATGTCTTGCGTCGCTGGATTGTAAACCGAGAGCTTGGAAATTGTTCACGCTTCGTCCTCACGGGGGTGGGCATACGCTTCCAAGTGCAGGGCGCCCCCAGGTGCCCGGTTGCGACTGCCCGCGCGGTCGCAGCCAGAGCACATGCCCTTAACGACTTCTGGGGCCCCGTTCCCGTCAGGAAGCGCGAAGAACGTGTGGATCACCGCCGGGCCCGACGACGAAGGCGCGGCCTGGTGCGCGAGATGCATTGGCCCAGGCCCACATGCAACCGCTCTCTGGCAATCGCTGCCTCCCGACCTTCTCCCCCCCCCTTCGTGACCAAGCAGAAACGTACGCGCGCTCTCGGGGCCACCTGCACCCGCCCAACAGAAGCGGACCATACGGACGATGCCCACTCTGTGGGCTCGGCGAGGCAACCACTGAACACGTGTGGCACTGGTGCCCAGCCGCGGCGCTAGCCTGGTGCACCGTCGGGGGTCTTGACGACCCACCGACCCCAGGATTGGCGCTGGGAGAGCAGCAGCCAGCAGTTGCACCTCAGGCCCCACAGGTGGAAGTGGAGTATTTGAAAAAGATCCCCGACCACATTCAAAAGCAGTTGACTCATTTCATACAAGATTTTCAGAAATCGATGGCCAAGATAACTCGCACGCGAGTCACCATCGAGAAGCTGAGCAACGACGTGCAAGTGCTGAATGACAAAGTAAATCGGCGATACCCCCCAGGATGTCGGGCTTTCAAGACCAGTGAAACTGAGACAGAGTTGGACAATGTATTAAAGGGATGTGTGGATCAGGATTCGTCTCTTGCCATTGTGCTGCCACGTGGCAGTTCGAGAAGGGAGGCGATGAGAATAATCCACCATGAAACTACATTGTTTTTCAAACAAGTGCAACTCGAAGCCAAAGAAGAGCTTCGAGAGGTGCTCAAAGTGGCTGGCAGTAAGGATACGTTCGTCCAGGAGGGCACGAAGATCATGCAGAGCGTGACGGACGACAGAGGAGCGTCCCTCGGCCTCGACTCCACTCGCTCCAAACCCTTCGACCCGAAGTTCGTAGAAACGAAGCTCGACTCCATGTGGCACCAGATGGTCGATAAAGAGGCGAAGAAGGAGGAGCAGAGGAAAAAGGAGTTGGAGAAGCAGCAGAAGGAGAACCGAAAGAAGGAGGAGGAAGTTTTCAGAAGCAAGCCAGAAGACATGTTTGACGCCATGATTTCCAACAAGTTAGAAAAGAAACTTGAAGAGAGGGGACTTGGCGGCATGGATGTGGAGAACTCCGACAATAAAGGAAAAGTGACAATCGCGCAAGTAGTAGATGCAGCTTCAAAAAATGGATGGGCCCCCGAGGGGGCTCGGGGGCAGAAAGACAAGGGGAAGAGCAAAGGCAAGGGCAAGGACCACCCAGGAAAAGGAAAGGGCAAGGAGAAAGGCAGCGAGAAAGGCAAAGGAGCTGGAATGAGCAAGAATGGGAAAGGCAAGTCAGCTGGAAACAAGAAAGGCAAGGGTGGCCAGAAGAATGCTTGGCATCCCAAGGGAGCAGGCAAGAACGGAGGCAGCAAAGGAGACAAATATGGAGCAATACGTACCGAGAAAGGTGCAAACGGCAAAGGCAAGAAGGTTGGCAAGGCAGGTGGTTGGAACACCACATGGCAGGAGCGTCCGTGGAAGAATGGCTATCGTTGGTGACGTTTCGCCGGCGAGAAAACACAGTTCTTGCATTCGACGCTTCAGACAAAAGTGTGTACATACCAACGGACATCCCATGGCCAGTGGTTTGGCTTCTTAGCACGTTTCACAACCTCCCGAAATTAGATCAGGTGCGAAAGGATTTAAATGATTTCGTCAATCGCTTCCGCTGGAGATTCACTTTGGGGAACCAGTCTCATCCCGACAGGCTGGCATACAGATTACGGGGCTGGCGGACACCGACAGGCCCAGCAAACTTGCCAGCTGAGGTTGAATTTTGGTTGAGCCAAATGAAACACAATCTCATGAGTGCGGGCGCTTCGGCCATTCAGCGACTTCGGCATAAGAGGCGCGGAAACGTCTATCCGTTGATTCGCTTGGCATTTGCGTGGCTGGAAAGCTCAGACTATGTACCCATAAAGAACGACAAGGAAACAGGCTACACCCTTGTCCGGCGAAGTGACAACACCCAGATCGATGAAACGATTTTGAACGGACCTCAGTACCAGGAGGTTTCAACCGACCCAATCAATTTTGACAGCGTGGCGCGGTCTTATGTGAAACTTGCACAAGACATAGAGAAGTATGAAGATTTCCCCATCGCTTCGGATATCACCCGATCCCTCAAAGCTCCGAGGCACACTTACAAAGCACACCTTTTCAAAACATGCAAGACACACAAGGCGCCAGAACCGATTTCATTTCGGAACGTGCACGCGGCAGGCAAGTATGCCTTCGCAGGGCTGTCGCATTGGCTCGGCAGAAGGCTTCGCGAGGTCATCAAGCGGTATCCTCACGTGGTGCGGGACTCCGCCGACGCAGCCAGGAAACTAATGCGTACAAGACTGGATCCGAGAGACCACTTGTGCACAATGGATGTGAAAGAGTTTTTCATGTCAGGGACAACGGAAGAGCTCGTGAATGACATCCTGCACTTCTTCTCTGGGAGGCTGCGTGTGCTCATTGAGCGCGCATCGTATTTACTGCTTGATAATCAATTCATTACGGCGTCCACGTTGCCAGGCCGGTGCTTCAAAGTAGTGCTCGGTACGGGCATGGGCCTCCCTCATTCGGTAGACGTGGCCGACTTAGCATTGATTCGCCGAATGGAAACATGGGCCGTTGCAAATCTTACGCGTTTCAGCATTAAGCGGTACTTGAGATTCAAAGACGACATATTCTTGATCTGGAAACACAGTTCGCTTGGAGGCCAGTTCTGCAGCGAGCTCATGACCAAGTCAGGGTATTTTCGCCTAAAGGTTGTATCTCTTTCCATCCAGTCTGTGGAATGGCTGGAACTAGAAGTAGTGAGGGTCGCGGGTACCGTTGCGACAAAACCTCGTTTTAAGCACACGACCTTGGCTGTTCCCCTTGCCCCCAGTAGCGCCCACCCCCAGTCTGTGCACAGGGCGTGGCCACGGGCAAGGCTGGGGACACTGCGGACTCTGTGCTCGAACCCAAGTTTTTTCGAAGAAGCGCAGTGCGAGTTGAGAGAACGATTATCCCAATCTTTTTCTGCTCAGTATGTGGATCGCGTCCTCCGCCCCCCCGCCGAAGACACGGGCAGGGGCGCTCGGGGATCGAATTCGAGCACGCTGTGGCTGAAGTTGCGGTATTCCCCCGGGCTTCAGCAAAGCCTGCAAAATACACTAGGTCATTTCCTCAGGCATGACGGGTACGGCGCGGTGATACTCAGGGCCATGGGGTGCGTGCCCGACGTACGTATCACGAATTACAGGGGCCTGCCAAACATGCATAGTTTGTTGGCGAGGCTCGCACATAGACCACACTAGGCGGCAGTAGGGGATGGTAGGCGGGATAATCATAATTATCATCTTTCCGTAAGGACGGAGAGGCAGGATACGAAATAAGGCAGATTTTGTATCATTAGCTGTTCTTCCGTAGGCTGCTTGGGCCAAGCCTCAGAGCTGAGGGCTAGCAAAGCCGAGTCCACGCTCCCAACGCGTGGGAGGCAAGACGGATAGATTTCAGATCAGATTTGAGTCTGCGAGGCCAAAAAACGAGAGATGCGCACGACCATCCAATAATTACGCACGAAAAACATTAGGGTGCCCTTCCCGCGCCGACCTCGATCTCACACCTCGGTCGGACCCTTCGCTGGAGGGTTTGCTTCCTCCGCACCTCGCCGCGCCGGCGGAGGACGTCGCAGGCCCGGGTGCCGCGCAGCAGCGACGGGTCACTGAAGGTGATGTCGCTGCGCATCTCCGGGTCCAGGGCTCCGGACAACCTCAGCAGCCTGCCAGCGGCCACCGACAGCTGCCTCTTTCGGGGCCCCCCAGCGGGGGCAATTGAGCAAGGAGAAAGAAACGGGTCTTGCGCGAGATGGCATAGCGAACTTGCGCGGTGGCTTACGCGGGCCGCCAGCGCGGCACGCCGCATTGGAAACGAGAGCGCTCACGCGCGACCTCACGCGGGCAGCTTACGCGCCAATGTCCGTGCAGACGACCCCGATGTCTTGCGTCGCTGGATTGTAAACCGAGAACTTGGAAATTGTTCACGCTTCGTCCTCACGGGGGTGGGCATACGCTTCCAAGTGCAGGGCGCCCCCAGGTGCCCGGTTGCGACTGCCCGCGCGGTCGCAGCCAGAGCACATGCCCTTAACGACTTCTGGGGCCCCGTTCCCGTCAGGAAGCGCGAAGAACGTGTGGATCACCGCCGGGCCCGACGACGAAGGCGCGGCCTGGTGCGCGAGATGCATTGGCCCAGGCCCACATGCAACCGCTCTCTGGCAATCGCTGCCTCCCGACCTTCTCCCCCCCCCTTCGTGACCAAGCAGAAACGTACGCGCGCTCTCGGGGCCACCTGCACCCGCCCAACAGAAGCGGACCATACGGACGATGCCCACTCTGTGGGCTCGGCGAGGCAACCACTGAACACGTGTGGCACTGGTGCCCAGCCGCGGCGCTAGCCTGGTGCACCGTCGGGGGTCCTGACGACCCACCGACCCTCGCCCAAGCCATCACCAGCAGCGGCGAACATCAACCCTTGCTCGCGAAATTGTTACATCAAGTTTCCTTCAGGTATTGCGTCAACCTCACAGCCTCCCCCCTGAATGCCGTCGAGGCCGCCAGACTCATTCTGCATGGCATAGTCGTTGCCGACATCGACCAGCAAGGGGACAGCGAGGACGATGGACAAGGGGTGGACGAACCCCCCAGGAGCGGCAACCCAGACGAGACATCTGTCTGGTCCGTCATGCGCGACACCTGCAGTACTTGCAACCCGTGCACCACCCCCGAAAGAGCGATCTGCGGAGCCGCTAGGCCCCACATGCAGCGGCATGCCCGCAGGGCCGGAAGTGAGATACGCAGGCTCCCGGCAGTACCAAACACCACAATCCGGGGGATAGACTCATGGTCCTACAAGCGCCTCAGACGCGGGCCGCATGGATGCCCCCAGGAAACGGGTGGTTCCCTTGCCCTAGGGCCGACGATTCTCCCACTGCCATCTGGACCTCCGTCTTCTGTCGGGAGTGCGGGTCTCACACCGCCACGCTGATTGCTAGCGCTAGCCTGGAACCCGGCGACGAGGTCACAGTCCGTAGCTCGCCCTTCCCCGACTCCAATTGTACCCAATGGCCCTATGAGTCTATGAGGTTACCTTTGATAGTGGCGCCAGGTCCATCGAGGGCGCGGACAAGGTCTCTGGCGCTGGTGCCATCCTGTGGCACCACAACCCCACCACCGGCTCCCCCCGGGTCCTGGCCATCGCCGTCGTTGCGCTCCCAGACTGTGACAGCGCACAAATGGCTGAAATTGCGGGCTGCCGTGCTGGGCTGGCCCTGCTTCCCCACCTCAAGGGCCCAATCCGGGCAGCCAGGATTGTTGGCGACAACCTCGCCGCGGTGCGATACGGCGCCG